GGGTGCATGCATACTCAGTTTGCTTCCTGATGGGGATGTGTTGTCATCCCAAAATAAAGTCAGGATGCAGGTAGGGTGCGAGCCTGAACCCATGCATTTGGATCTCATGATTTAGACATGGCTTAAATTCCCTGTGCAACCAGCGGGTGGAGAGAGGAGATTTAGAAGGCCTCCAGAAGCCACCTCAGGTTTGGTAAGGTGAATCCTAACTTCTGGCTTTGAATAAGTGCTTGCTTCTGTCTTTTTGTTTCATATTTCTCTCAGCATAGATGGTGAAACTAGAACAGTCTGTTTTCTTGTCTGTGTATGATCAATTTCAAGGTTTTCTAGGTTAGGAGGAAGTTGGGATGTCTAGGTACTAGAAAGTTAAAGCATTTGAAATCCTGGACTTACAGTTCTTATAAGCATATTTAAAAAGAAAAAAATTGGATCTAGCAACAACCATTCAGAACATCATGCCTAATTCTGGTCAGTAACTTGAATTTTGGCAGTGCTGGAGATCTTATTTTTGTAACTTAAGACGATTTCTACCATCGCTTCAGCCCCATTATCTCAGAAATAGTGAGATATTTTGCAAAGGCTGGCATCAGTAGCACTGTGCATGAATAGGTCTAGGAGTCTAGATTTAAACTCTTGGCAGCTGCCTTGAATGTTCTTTCTGCTGTCATTCAGACCATAGCTACTGAGGCTGAATTTTGCCGGTAGTAGCAGCTGTGGGAAGTTACTAGGGGAAGAGTCTATCACTGACACGAGGAATAGTTCTGAAGTTCTTTTCCCCATTGCTGAACTTACTGAAATGTCACTGTTGCCATAGGTCATTTATGCAGGGCTGAAAATCATCTTTCTGCTGTACTCAATATCAAGTAAGTTGCTTGGCACTTTAAATGCTGTTGATATCTATAGTCCATGCTTGTATAGCTCTGTTTAAATCAAGTTTTGTTGTTTCAGGGATTAGATCTAATAGCTATCATTCAAGAGTAAAGAAGGCAAAAAGAAAAACGTACATTTTGCTCATTCCAGTTTACTGCTACTTTATTACTTCCCAAATCATCCAATTTTCTCCAAAAGTTATATCTACAACCTTCAGAAAATTGTGTGCAAGAATCACCTTCAGCAGTGTTTTTACCTTGAATCATTAATTACAGGAAGCTCTCAAACAGAGCAGATGGCATTTCTGTGTTCAGAATGTACCTTTATTTGTTTTTCTTCTCTCAGTTTGACATCTGAGTTTCTCTGCGTCTGTAAGATTTTGTCATACTGCAATTAAATATATAATAGAATGCATAAGTAGGCCTGAAAAATGAAATCCTGTCCTTTTACGTTAGTTACAAAAAAAAAAAAAAAGATGCATGATTGGATGGGCACATCTCAACTTCAGATCAGTCACTCTGGAACTCCTTGCTCAATGTACAGAACAGGTATTTTTAAATATATTTTTTTCCTTCAGTCTGTGAACTCATGCCTTACTTGCTGCATACTACTCAAACACTTTTTTTTTTATTTTTTCAGAAAGATTATGTATTTTCTCTTGAGCTTTCTGATGGGGCTTAGCTGAGGGGCTGACACATCTGACCATTTATTTTCAGCACACCTTAGTGATTTGAGAGGATTCTGATAATTTGACAAGGGAGGAACTAAAATGTAATCATACATACGAGGAACTGGGTGAGAACATAGCTGCTAGTTTTGCTTACATAATTTAAGAGGATCGTCATAGATTGGTTTGGGTTGGAAAGGATCTTAAAGACCATCTAGTCCCAACCCCCCTGCCATGGGCAGGGACATCTCCCACCAGCCCAGGCTGCCCAAAGCCCCATCCAGCCTGGCCTTGAGCACCTCCAGGGGTGGGGCACCCACGGCTTCTCTGGGCAGCCTGTGCCAGGGCGTCACCACCCACACGGTGAATAATTTCTTCTGAAATCTAATCTAAATCTACCCTCTTTCAGTTTAAAGCTGTTGCCCCTTGACCCATCACCAGACTTCCTGACGAAGAGTCCCTCCCCAGCTTTCCTGCAGGCCCCCTTTAGGTACCCAAGGCCACTATGAGGTCTCCCCAGAGCCTTCTCTTCTCCAGGCTGAACAACCCCAGCTCCCTCAGCCTGTCTCTTGCTCAGAGCTGTTGCTCAGTGTGGGCCTGGTTTGTTCCTACAATGCACCTGGAAGCTGTGGCACAGTCAACGTGTGCTGTGGAGCACTGCCACCAAAATAAAGCTGTGGAGGCAGTGGTGAATCCCAGTGCTTCTGGGCTTTGTGTGCATAACTTGTCTGGATTTAGTTATTTTTTAAAAATTTTTTTGAAGTAACTTGGAAATTTCCTTCTCAGAAGCAAACTAACGAACACTCTTGATGTGTGTTGCCATGTTGGTTCACTGAGAAAGGGGGACCGTGGCTGTGTCCTGCTGCACAGGAGAGGTCAGGGGACAGGGTGCTGGCACCAAGCTGAGGGACACGGCTGGCCTGCCTTTCCACAGCACAGGGCTAGCCCCTCTATGGGCAGAATGCTGATGTCTGCGCTGCACATCCTCATCCTTGGACCCTGTGCGGTGCTGTGGGGCCATCGAGTTTCATCAGTCCTTTGTCCTTCCCTTGGTAACATCTCTCAGCTCCTGGCCATGCTGGACCCGGTGGATCCCTGTGCTGGCTGCTCTCTCCAGCTCCTCATCCAGCTGAGACGCTCTCTGCTTCCTTGTTTTAACCTTTTGCTCAACCAGACCCAGGATTCCCAGATTCTGGCTCTTGCTTCTCTTCCTCCCCTTCCTCTAATTGCGACCTCTCCTCTCCTGCCCAGCTTCGTGCCATGTTTTGGTCCCCTTGACCTTTTCTCACACCCTGCTGTGGTGCTGTATGAAGAGTCTGTCTCCTGCACATCCGTGGGGCATCAGCCGAAGGGTCACGAAAGCAACAGGCGAGGTTGTCTTCCTGCTGTCACTTCCAATGTCTGGTCTTTGGCAGATGGGAGCAGCAGTTACAGGGGAAATCCTGCTAATCTCCTGTAACTTGAGCCCATTACATGCTCAGTCGCACTGTGGGGTTGGTGCCTTTCCAGCCACATTCGGAGGAGGTGGTGGATGCTTGCTGCAGAACATTTTCCGTGATTTACGTTGCAGGGCTCAAAAAGAAAAATAGGGAGGTGTATCAGCTGGATTCTGGTAGGTGCTAGAGCTTTGTCTGACACACAGATGTTTTCATAAGCATAGCAAAAGGCATAGCCTTTAAAAATTAAAGTAAATAAATAATAAACTGAGGGATCAGCGCTGTGCCAAATTTCAAGCCTGCCCTGTCAAGGGCGAGCGGGGGGAGCAGAGTTCCCCAGTTGAGTCGGTTGTGAGAACGGCAGAGCAATGTGTTTTTGTCTAGCCTGTCTCAGAAATGGGCAAACTGCGTTTTGGCAGACAAATAAATAAATCCTGCAGCAGATGTCCAGCATGGAAAATTTTAACACGGACAGTTTGAGTTTGACAGAATCAGAGGAATGTGGAAAATACCAACAAGATGCGCCGGGCCACCTCGATAATAGATGGAGCAGGCCAGCCGTGTGACCCGTCTCTGGGGTTCTCCTCAGACTCTTCAGTACCAGTTATTTAGTTTTTTGTTGTTGTTGTTGTTAAAAGCAGAGAATGGAGGGGGTGATTCAGCAGAGAGGGAGGGCTGCCTTGTAGGAGCCAGCAGAAACTTGAACTTGAAGGAGGGGGAGCTGCGAAGGGACGGAGGAGATGAGTGCGTCATGGTCAGATGGTGGGGACACCGGTGGCGGCGGGCCAGAGGGCTGGTGGTGCCAAGGAGGGGGGGGAGACCTTAATAAATCAGATGGGAGATGATGAAGCCCGAAAGAGAGTGTTTGCTTGCAGGATGGCAGGGCGATGGGTTTTGGAAAGCGTCATTTCTAATATGCAAAACAGGCGATAGGAAACAATGGGGCCTTGGGACGGAACTGCCGATTGAATGAGGGCTTTGTTTTCCTCTTGTCTATTCACATTTTTTAAGTTTCAGTGGAATTTAAATAGATTTTACACATTTTTATGTAATGGATTGAATTGCATAAACTGCTGTCTAAAGTAGTATTGCGCTGCAATCTTTATCCCCTTCTGGATAAAGATTGACTTTCTGGTTAAGCTCATTTTTGTATTTTTTCTTAATTGCAACTCTTGTTCGATAATCCTTTGCTGCCTTGCTCTCTTATTTAAAACTCCAGCAAAAATTGTGAGCAAATTGACCGACACCAGACCTTGTGTAACGAGTGTATCGATCTGCCCATGGTTTGGCTTGAAAATGGCAACTGGTTTCGTAGTCCTTACGCCTGAACCTCGATGCTAACGAAGATCAGTTGTGAGCATGTACCACAGTTTGGGGGCCGCTTACGTGTTTTTTCTGCCAAGGGTATTAAAACGTCATCAGATGGATCATGTCTCTGTCGAGGAGCATCCCATACCTGTGGTGCATGACAATTGGTCTCAAATGTTATGAAAGTGATGGTGTATGTGTGGCTGTTAAATGCAAACACTGCACAGTAGGGTTGTGCAGTATTAAAATGAGAACATCAAGGTCTGACTCGGAGTGCGCGTTGGCTGCACGTTAAAATAAGGGGTGGATTATTTGCCTTGAGATGCACGGCAAACCTTTACAAATAAAACAGCATCGCTGCAGTTCTACGATTTCACCAGTGCTGTTTGTGCACGCGTTTATGCCCAGCAAAAGCTCCTAAAACCCTTCTGCAAAAACATCGCCGAGCTGTCGTGGCGATGGAGGGGAAGGGAGTTGTTTGCGTTTGCCGCATGTGGGATTTCATGGAGGGGGGATCGCTTTGCCTCCTCGCCAGCAAAACTCCTTTCCTGGGCGAGGGAAATTCCCGGTTCATCAGTATGGACGCATTGTTTTTACACGTTGGAAGCGCTGTGTTGCTGTGTCAATCACCCCGATACAGTCGGTGCGAGAGCGGCAGGGCTGACGATGCGGGGTGTGATTGGCTGCCATATGCTGGGAGGGCTCTGGGAGAAGGAAGGGCTGCAGTCCTTCAGCAACAGAGTTTAGGCTGTGTCTTTGCTTCATCATCTGAGGGAAAAATCCCCCGATAAGGCACAGGGCTTCCCGAGCACCCAAAAAAAAAAAAAAAAAAAAAAAAAAGGAGGGGGACTGCTGATTGTTTTGGGTGACAATTATTCATCACAATGATGGAACGGGAAAGGTGCGGCTGTTTGTTGATAGCAGAGGTTTCTGTTCCCGCTGGAAATGTGCCGAATAGACAGAGCTGAACAAGGTAGGAGGATCATTGTCTTTTATTGAATGTTTTAAGAGTTTGCTGCAGTGTGCTGCATACCGTATGTGTTGCCTGGGGGAGTCGGGGAAACAAGATTTCTCCGGTGATTACCTGCTGTCGGGGCGCAGTATGCGGATTTTATGCTAACTTGTTTTTCTAGGGGAGTTCAGTCACAACATAAGCAGCTCTTTTCAGAAATAGACCGTGAGTATATGCACATTAAAAATAACGCGAGCAAAAATAAAGAAATAGGTCAGTGTGTTTCAGAAGTACGGCACCCTAATTGGATTTTTAGCTGGGCTGCCGCCTGGCAGTGCTTCCTAGCTCTAATAAAGAGAATGAGTCAACCTGGAAATCTGTGAAGTTTCTAGCAGATATGTCTGAAGATTTACGTGAATTAGAATGGCTCTTATAAATAATTCCCTATCGGAGGCTTTAACTAAAGCCAGGACGGTCTGCCTGGGGCTTGAAGGAGCTGCACAGTGAGATTACAGTATTTTACTCCATTACAAAAGTCTGTGCATTTTAGACTGCGCAGTGATTCCTTGTGTTCCCGAAGGCAAGCTGTTAGAGTTTTTCGTATTGTAGTTCAGTTGAGCATTTCCCCTGCCATTTCCAGGTCTTTGTCTCGGCAACAAAACAGGACCTTTACGTGAAAACAAGGATAACGAGGTTAATAATACGTACTGCAATTATCTGATCCTTCTGCATTTTTAATGAGAGAACACACAGCTAGCAGAATAATTTAATGAGCAGGCTGGCTTTTGCAGCAATGATTTCACTGCTGAGACGCATCAACTTTCTTGCCGAGGAGGAGCCTCGGGAAGCAATGGAGAAGATTTATGTTAAGTGCTCTGGAGAGAAGGAAAAGGATTATTTAGACAGAAGTCTGTAAAATTTTGGAGGGATAGAATTATTATTCATTATTATTACTTGTTAGGTGTTGGAAGCAAACTTTGCCATTGTATTGCTGGAAGGGTCTGAGGACATTGCCTCATCCTGTGACGTGCTAAAGCCTCTTCAACTTTCTCAGGCTGCCATATGCGCTGATGGTGCTCAGTACCAGTCAGGATCCCACCCAATTAGCTACCCAAATTACCATGCTGTCTTCAGCTGCATTGATAGCAATATCATCATAATACATAACAAAGTTTAAAAAATAAAATAAAAACTTCTTTATGAAGATTAACAGTTGGTGAAGCAATAATACCCTTGAACACTATGTATAAATATTTGTATTCAGATAAGATGTGGGTGGAAAAAAAATCAAGTGTGTGAGCTAAGGAGGACTGAAGATCAATGTCTCCAAGAAGGAATAAGGTAAACGAACCTTTTACTGACTAGAAGACTTTAAATGGTGTTAAAGAAAAAAGAAACCTTTCAATTTAAGCCAATTTAAAAGGGTTTCATTAAATAGGTCCTGCTAGACCAAGCGTCCCCCTTGTCCCACCCCATTCATCCCTCACCTTTTCAAGGAGAGGTACAGGACGTGGGCTCAAAACTTCTGATGTCATCACCCAGCTCCTCACAGCTGACTTTTTTCTGCGGAGGTTGATTCAAATTCCTCGTTACCTGGCTAAATGCTCGCTGAAGACCTGGAGCTGGGATGCTGACACATCTTCAGTTTATGAATCAGTAATTTACAAACACCGAGCTCTTCGAAGTTATAGCAACCTCATGTGTCTTCTGAGGATTTCAAGCTGCTAACAAGAGAAACATATGTCAGGATGTAGAACATTATTATTAATGGAGTATGAGTATGTACATCTTGCTGTTGCTGTTGATGTTCAAATGTAGTGTTTGTGTGCAAAGTATGCTAAGCATGTGCAGCAAAGATTGATAATTAGAAGTCAATCTTATTCCTGTTATGAAGTGTGAGGTTTTTTTTACTTTTGCAAATAAAACTATTTTCATGCACAGCTTTTACACAGAAAAATTTTCAGCCTCGTTTTTCAAGACTGCCTTTTTCAGATGATTTAAGTGGCTGGTTGGTTGTTTTTTTTATCTTTGAGATGGCACTATAGAGAATTATCATTCTTATGTCTAACTGCCCAAGTGAAAACTGGCATTCATCACTCGATCAAATAGCTTGTAACAGCAGAACAGCAGACCAGGTGGAATACACAATCAGTCAACAAAGGGATTTAAAGAAAAATCTTGCCTGCTCAAGGTACGCTTTTTTTATGGTGGGTTTTCATCTTGGAGGGCAGAGATAGTAACAAATACTCTGAATTATCTTTTTATGTAACTAGTTGGTAATAAAATTATTTTGGGCCAGATTCTGGTACCTCTTTTCATTTAATAATATCTTTCCTGCTTAATTTCTCTGTGGACTCTATCACAGCTATTTGTACAGTAATATCTTACTGTGTTCAGTCTGTTTTTGTTTTTTTTGTTTTTTTTGTTTTTTTTCAGGGAATAAATTACTCCGTATTGAATTAGTTTCTTCGTTTTCCTAAGGTAGTATTTACTAGTGAGTTACTAGTCCTGAAGTATAGTGTTGCGACTACAGATTGTTTATAAAAGGAGATCAAGTTCTTCATTTGTAAGCATGTATTTTACAAAACTCTGAAATAACTATATGCTAAAAATATATATATTTTTTTCTGAGTAAGAGAAGTAGCTACTAATATTATATAGGATTTCAGGCACTCAGGTCTGGTAAGTCATCTCAGCTGTGGATGAATGTTCTTCTCTGTTGCTCGCAAGTATGTCAGGAATAAGCTGCACTGTGTTTATTTGTAAAAAGATCTGTAAAATGTTCACTTTTTATAGTATTGAGAGATGAGAAAAAGACTTAGTGTTCAAATGAAATTCCTCATTAGTAATTCCACATATGGTTTGATTTCTTAAATCGTTAGTGAGACACATTGCTAAGGTTTAAATTTCAAATAACAGCTATTAATGATATCTTGCTTTCCAGAGTTACTGGAAATTTCTTTGACTTTAAGGACTCTTTTATCTTTCAGAGAAGAAATGCTTTTTTTTTTTTTTTTAAAGCTCAATGACTTTCTACTTTCTTTGTGGGTAAAAACACATAGCTCTTTACAAAAGAGAATATAATCTCTTGCTTTAGAATTTATCAGTATGTTTGCTTTTAAAAACCATTTTCCAGCCTTTGGTTGTGAAGCTAATTTGATATGTTGTGTTTAGCATAATGCGTTATGGTTAACTAGTGTGAACTAGTGCTATGTAACTTGTCTGTAAAGGCTGAAATTATAGCCTGAGGAAATTAAAACTCATTTTAAGAGGGTGTCAGTGGTGAAAACTGGTTCAAATAATGGTAGTATTATCTGTTTGACTAATTAAACTAATCTTCTTACAGAAGATTCTTATATTCTTATAGATTATGCAGTGACAGTTGTTGGTTATTGATGTGTGGAGCCCAAAATCTTTTAAAAACAAACTTTTCAGCTCTGTTTGGGGCAGAATATGCTTGAGGAGAAAGAAATGACGCATCATCTTCCTAGAATTTGCCAATGTCTTAATCTCCCCATGTATGTGTATGTATCTATATCTATTATAAGGTATATAAAATTTTTAGTTCAGTATTTTGGGCACGCTAAAAAAGGAAAGTTTGAGACTGTGAAAATTCAAGGGTGTACCCACCAGGAGATTAAATGTGAAAATCATTGTAACCAGTGCAAAGAAATACAAAGTAGGCAGAAGTACGCAGAGGGCTTCTTGTTCTAGTGTTCGTTTCTAACACTGTTGAGAGATGCCAGTGTTCAGCTGGCTGCTGTTACGGAACACCTGTAGGATTCCTGGAGGTGTAAGTCTGGCAAAGGGTCTGGTGGGCTTGTGATATCATCAACCTGACAATTTAGAGCTCAGCTGTACTTCTGGTAAATGAAGGAGACACACACGCTTTTTTTTTTTTTTCCTTTCCTCCTATTTTTATATGTAGATGTATGCAAACAAACGTGTAATACACATAAAATTATCATCTTCCATTGTTGTGATTTTTTGAAACACAAAGAAATACATAATGAGACAGGAGGGTTTTACTGGTGCGGTTCTTGGATGAAGAAATCAATCAAGTAGGAACAGATGGCTTATATCAGAGTCTATTACTCTTTTATCTACGTTAGATCAATAATTTTTAGACATTTCTGAGTGGATGATGCATGCCATTTGAAGAATGTCTGGGTAGTGCACATTTTTGAACTTGTAAGCAGAGACATGAGCGGTAGCAAGGTTCATATGGTGGTAAAATCTTTCCTCCTGCAGAGAGTACAGCGCTTTGAACAATAGGGAGAATTAGAGAATACAGGTAAGGAAAAATACGGACATGTTTTCCCTCTAGAGTTTTATGTAAGGAAGCTTGGACTTTGAAGTGCCTATTATTTTTTTTCCTCTTTCTGAGGATTCTGAGGGCAAATTTTCAATACTTTTTGGGTGTGATCACTTTTAAGAGATAGGCCTAGGAAATATTCTTTTCACCTCCATCTAAGATTCTCTCCTAGCCAGGCTGAATTATTTTTTTTTCTTCAGAAACAGAGGATTTTTATCCTTTTTCAATCTTCAGGTGTGTATACCAAAAGGCTTGAAATCTCACCCCCCCACACCCACTTCCTGAATCTGTAGTGATTTTTTTATTTTACAGCAAGTACTTTATAAGCATTTATTTTTGGGTAGTGTCTGGAACTTAGTCTAAAACTAACCTTAAATTGAAAAGTGGCAAGATAAGATTTCCACTTACTTTCAAGAGCTTGGAATATGATTTTCAATAAATGAATTGAAGTGTGTTGGTTTTCTGCTTTTAACGCATTCAGCTGGCAGCAATCAGTCGGAGACTCTGCTTGACATTGAGGTGGGGAAAGTGACTGCCCTGTAGAATATCAAAGCCTAGTTTTAGTCCATTTTTTGTTTCCTTATTCATTTTCCCTTTTTAGGTGTTTTTTTTTGGTGCCGTTATCATACATAAATATTTCACTCCTACAACTGCTCTGGTTTGTAAACAGACACCTATGGCTATCCTTCCTTTCCCACATCGGTAGCTGGCACATGTGTATGTGGGTGCCCAGTTAATGATTCAGGACTTCAGCAGAGCCTTGCGTTTTATTTATTTAAAAGGTTGCCATTACAATTATGGGATTTCCCCGGCAGCTGCATTCACTGGTAGCACGTTTTCCCTGCCTCTTATTGCTCTGCAAAGAGCAATATTGATTTTCCTACCTCACCTTCCTCCACCCACAGCCCAAAAGGAGGGGCTGGGGCTCCAAGGCAGGAGGTCCCCGAGCTGGTGAAGGTGGGCTGCTGGCCAGACACCATCGCAAAATAGGGACGAAGAAATGCTCTCTGCGGCCCGAGGAGCGAGGCAGGGAGCTGCAAGGCGAACAGGAGCTTGGCAGTGACGGTGGTATTGAGCAGACCTTTCTCTGTCGCGAGGTTTCTGTGCCAGAGGACACTTGTGTGTGGGCCGCTTGTGCTACCGCTTGCAGTGCTGCAGTCCTTATTGAGATGCTAAACATGCGCCGGCAGCACGGTGCGCCACTGTCCTGGAGCGGTAGAACATGCATTTAAAAACTTTTTTTTTTTTTTTTTTTTTTGCTTCACGGGCATTTTTTCAGGTCCCTTGTGTATTTCAGTTCCCCTCTGCTAATCCTGGGGCATGCTTCCAGTCTGGATTGCTTTATTTCTATAATTTTGAAGGATAGGGAAATGCCAAAAAAAAAGATTTTCTTTGCCACAGCGAGCAAGGCATGAAAGCCTTTGAAAGTAGCTACACTGAAGTGTTTAGAAAGGCAGCATTTTTTCTTTTTACCTTGTTGTGTTTTTTGTTTTGTTTTTTTTTTAAAGACCTCATTTAATGCTCAGGACTTTGTGCGGTGAGGCCACTTTCAAAGGCTTTGCAATCCACAGCCGCAGCTCTTTGAAGTGGAAACGCCAGGCAGGGGACACGCCAGCAGCTTAATCCTCAGTATAAAACGTCCGAAGTGGTAAAAAGCCCCAGCATCCATCTCATGGGAGGAAGCTTCAGAGTGATACCTGGAATTAAATCCATCTCACAGACCTGGACTTCACCCATGCAGCTGGAAGTGGTTGGACTCTTGTAGACCATGAGGCATCCAGCCCCCATTCTCTCTCTCCCGTTGTTTTTCCACTCTCTCTCTGTCCTCCCTTCTCTCCCCTAGTCTCTTGAGGAGCAGGGCCCAACAGCTGAAGGGTGAAGGAGCGTGGCCTGAGAACAAATGTCCACTTCTGCCCGTTTTTTACCTTCCCGAGCTGCTAGATGCTTCCTAGTGCAGAGTAGAGCACGTGGCCCACACTGCCATTCTCCGTGGAGATTTTTCTGCGAAGGATGATCTGTAGCTTAGTGGTACCTCCAGAGGTAAAGCCGTGCCTTTACGCTCCAAATCATTCTTTGGAGGTACCCACCTCTCCTTTGGCACCGAGGGTGACTAAGGATATTGTGTTTTTCAGTGAGCGGTGCCACATTTATGTGCCTGAAGATAGGTGGCACGAGTCCATGGTCTCTGAAAACTGTGTTTGAAATAAGAGATGAGAGTGTTGACTTTCTCATGGGAGGGCTCAAGGATCAGCGTGTCCCCACGGGTCTGTTGCCAGCCCTAGTTGCAGAACTAGGCTGCTTGTAAGGAGTTGCAGTCCCAAAGCAGAGAAGGCAAGGGGTGAGCTGAGGACAGGAATGTGTACCTTGACAGGCATGTGACTTCAGCTTTTAGTCACTGGGGGTTAGAGACTTTCTGAGGAGAAGTTTCCATCTGAGCCATTGTATTTAGTAGCCTCTTCATAATGCTGACGGTGCTATTGCTCTTGTCCCTCTCTTTCCCATCTCAGTTGTGGGCTCCCTCATCTCAGGGGTGACAATATCTTTCCTCTGTAGTAGTGTCTTGCTTGAACTTGATGTTATGTATGTGTTATTTATTACTTTTATTGTTGTTTTTCCCCTCATCCACATTATTTTGTCTGCTTTTATGTTAAATTCTTACGTCATTTTGTCATCCAGTGTACTCATTATCATGAGATCCTTTCGTAACTCCACACAGTTAGCTACAGGAATGATTTCACAGTATATAATGTTAATGGCAAACTCTTTCGATGTTTATGGATATATTGAACAGCAGAGGAGGACAACTGTTAGTAAACTCCTTCATTGCAAAAATCGCAGCAGATAAGTAAAACTGTGCTGTTTAGCCATGTGAACTTGCTGAGTTTGGAGGCCTTTCATAGAGTTTATTGACCCAGAACTTCTGCTGACTTCAGTCTTCATGCCGGCTGCAAGTACTTTGCATTTTTAGCTACCTCTTTTAATTAAATTTTGTTTGACATCCACAACATTCATCAAAACATAACATCATCATAACATAATGTCATGAGAATTAGGTCCCACAAAAATCATCAGTTTACAAAGATGACGGATTCATTTGCTTTCATTTTGCTTAATTCCAAGCTTTTTAGGATTTGTGTTTCTTTAACTCTTACCCACAGCTGTCAGATTTGTACTTTTTATTAAAAACAGTTCTTGTAAACATGTTTGTAGGTGATAAGGCTTTATGAAATGCACTCAATGTTTTAAGGCTTCCAGTAAAATGAGTGAGAGTTAGCTGTGATGCAGTAGGGTAGCATAGTAGATCCTTGAACTTGAGGATTCCTGTGAGAGGAATCAATGTAAGTTATTTTCTTAAAGATAAATGAAATTAAAGCTGCCTAAGTAGCAATGGTCTGCTTCAGTAAAGACAGGTAGTTGTATCTCAGCCCTCTTGGCCTTCGGACACCAAAAAGCTAACATACTTGTCACTGGAGGGAAAGGTAAATCTGATGGTTTTCATCTTTAGAGTAATTTATCTGGAGGTAAAAATGATTGCCTGAAAGTTGAAACTTCAGAAACAGCAGACAAGTTTCTGCTCTTCTGATTTAAAAATACTAAACATTTATATTTGTGTGCCTTTAATTGACTCCAGTGCTTCACTTATGAAATTTAGATTCTTCAGATTTTTCATAGAGACCTTTCTCATCAAGTGAGTATGTGGCAATAATAAAGCCAGAAAAGGGAAGAAAAAGGGAAAAAAAGCCTTAAATTGTGGATTTCAATCTAACATTACAAGATTGTAATAAATTAAAAACAACAACAACAAAGAAAACATGTAACTCTGAAGATATATATTAAGTGGGCTTTGTTTCTAAAAAAAATCCAACTACATGAAACTATAATACCATTATACCTTTAGTCTCTCCCTTTTCTTTCTTCTCAGAGTACAATAGTGCTTATTTTTTAGTAGTGGACGGGCAATTCTGTTCAGTTCCTGTGAAGTGGTTCCATGGTTATTGCTATTTCAGATGACGGACAGAGGGATAAACCTGGAGAAGGACATTTCAAATAGTTTTTTCAGGATTTCTAAAGTCTATGTGTTGTAATAGAGTAGCTATCTCTGTAAAATCCAAATATTGGTAATGTATACTTTGCAGCACACAAAGTTGCACAGGATTACTTGAGGGCATACTTTTGACTGAGAGGGAGCTGGTTGATTTGTGTTGTGTTTTTTTTTTTTTCCCCAGTCTGGTTTGATTTTATGTCCTACTTGCTATGTCCTGGAAATGATGTATGAAATGAGAAGAACTCCTATCAAGTGTCACAGGCCTGTGTGTGTATACAGGCTGGAGGTTAGAAGAGATAAAATCTCTTATTTACAAGCTAAGAAAACATTGCATAAAAATAAAGCGCATTCAAGAGAGAAATCTGTTAAGTCATTATTGCAAAGTTGTTTTCTGAGATAGAAATGTGTAAGCATAATCACAGCAGTCCATTTTTTATGTTTATAAATGGACAGCGTTTTACCTCTGAGTGATGTTTTTGGTGTTGTTTAATTGACCAAATCCTGAATATTTTTTGTGCTGTTTGTTGACCTTGTCAAATAGAAAATATTCTTCAGGGAAAGAAATGCTAGGAAAAAAAAAAAAAAAAAAGGATACCTTTAAAAACAGTGCTGTCTATCAAAGTGATATTTATACAAGTTTAAAGGAAAATTTTTGCATTACAGTTTTAACGCAGAAATTATGCCAGGCAGTACAAAACACAGAGTGTAAAACAAAATGTTGATTTAAATAGCCATTTGTGACTAAGCTTGAAGTACAACAAATGAATTAAACCTTTGAAAAGGCCAAAACTGTTTAGACTTATTTTAAACAGTCCAAATCTTCTTCTGCAATTCAAGCAGAAATCATGCTCTTGCCAAAATCCAGTTGCTTGTACTTAGTGTCACAAGCACATCTATTCTTCGGAAATACTCAGGAACACCAAGCTGCGCTTAGCAGTCCCCAGCAGGAGAGAGAAATCTCTGCAGTTACAGGTAAGCAGAGATAGTAGGCAAAGGTCTGGAAAAGTGCTCCATCAAAACATTTCTGGGAAATGTGTTCAGTGGAAATTTTCACTGAAAACATACTGCAGCTCCTTGTTTTGGTAGGATGAAAGAACTCTTATTCAACTTTCCTATCAAAACAGAATTTATGATGTGTTCCTGAGTAACTGTGTGCTTGTCCATGATAACATTTAAGTTACAATAAAGTGGTTCAGGCATATGAAAATAAAGTGCTCAGATGGAATTGTTTCAATATTGCTAAAAATACTTTTACTTTTTCCCCTGATATTTTCCCCTTTTCAGTCTAAGGAAGCATCGAGATACTGAGATTTCCTTCAGGAAAGTTTTCAACAAATCCTAGTAAGAGTAGGAAGGACTTCTTCCTATTGCTCTATTTCCATATAAAATAGCTGAGTTAAAATAGAGATGGATTTTCATTTCAATATTGATAAAAACTTGCAGTCTGATTTGAAGCAGGGTTTAGAAACTAAATAGCCTTGGGCTGGCACTGTCTACCCAGTCAGTACTACTACCCGTATCCATGCCCATTTCAATTTGTAAGCCAGCAGAAATTAAAAGGAAGACTGTACATTTGAAGTTGATTTTACAACGAGCTTTGTTTCCGTTTGGAAATCTGAATGTTGTTTATCATAGAACAGTGTGGGTTGGAAGGCACCTTAAAGCCCACCCAATTCCAACCCCCCTACCATGAGCAGGGACACCTCCCACCAGACCAGGTTGCCCAAAGCCCCATCCAGCCTGGCCTTGAGCACCTCCAGGGATGGGGCACCCATAGCGTCTCTTGGCAGCCTGCGCCAGGGCCTTACCACCCTCACAGTGAGTGAAGGATTTCTTCTGAAATCTAATCTAAATCTACCCTCTTTCAGTTTAAAGCCATTCTCCCATGTCCCATCACCACACTCCCTAACAAAGAGTCCCTTCACTTCTTTTCTGTAGGCCTCCTTTAGGCACTGGAAGGCCAATATAAGGTCATCCCAGAGCCTTCTCTTCTCCAGGCTGAACAACCCTCCCTCAGCTTGTCTTTGTAGGAGAGGTGCTCCAGCCCTTTGACCATCCTTGTGGCCCTCCTCTGGACTCGTTCTAATATGTCCATGTCCTTCTTGTGCTGGGGGCCCCAGAGCTGGATGCATCACTGAAGGCTGCAGTCTCACAAGAGCAGAGTAGAGGGGGAGCATCACCTCCCTCAACCTGCTGGCCACACCTCTGATGTGCCTCAGAAATCCAACCATATCCTGGGCTGCAAGTGCATGTTGCTGGCTTGTGTTGAGTTTCCCATCAACCAACACCCCCGAGTTCTTCTCAGGGCTGCTTTCAATTCATTCTCTGTCCACCTTGTATCTGTGCTTGGGATTGACCCAAATCAGGTGCCAGACCTTGCAGTTGGCCTTGTTGAAATTCATGAGGTTCACAGAGGCCCACCTCTTGAGCCTGTCCAGGTATCTCTGGATGGCATCCCTTCCCTCCAGCATGACATACCTCATGTCTTGGTGTCATTGGCAAACATGCTGAGAGTGCACTTGATCCCACTGTCCATGTTACCAACATAGATCAGAGAGGCTGTTGTTGCCCAGAGTGGTCGTGGATGCCCCATCTCTGGAGATGTTCAAGACCAGGTTGGATGAGACCCTGGACAACCTGATCTAGTGGGTGATATCTCTGCCAATTTCACCACAGCTGACTGCCACAACTTCTCGAGTATGATGGATAGTGGCGTGGCAACTGAATCTTCCAGTTCCCTCAGGACCCTCAGATGCATCTCATCAAGTCCCATGGACTTGTGCACCTTTAGGTTCCTTAGGCAGCCTCAAACCTGATCTTCTCACACAGTGTCCCCCTTACCTGTTGTAGACAGTTAAACTATGCACGTGGCAGAAAACCTGAGTACAAATTTATCTGATGGCATTGTTATTCGCTGGTGAACTTCCTCAGCTCCCTCCTGTGTATCCTTCTTGTCCGTTGTTTTAAGTGCTTTATCTCCGTTACTTATATAAATACATATATCTATGTTTGTTTATTTATTTTTTTCCTACAATGAAGCTGGGTTAAAAAGTAACTATCTTCAAATGCCAACAGGTGATGAGATTTTTGGACCAAGATCAAAATGACCCATTTTTATTGGGTCAGCACTTCCTAATCAGTGCTCAGGCAAAAACAAAGGTCAGTACTGCGTATCAACCCCCAAATTCATCATCCAAGAGATCAGAGGGGAAAAAATGACAGATGTTTACTATGGGAGGTGGTACCTGCAGACAGTTGATGCACGGTTCTTCCAATTGTAACTCCTTCTTTTTGGTTCAGGATTAAATAGAGGTTTTCAGGATTTCCTAGAAAACAGAAATTCACCAAAAACTTGCAAGTACTCTGAGAAAAGCTCTTTGTTTCTTTGCTAGCAGTTGCAAAACCAATTTTTGAGGAAGAGCATTCTCTCTTTGAACCCATGATACACTGACAACAGAGTAATAATTCATAAATGCAAATTTATTTAATTATAAATTATATTTATGTATTGTTAAATACAACACAGGTAGCCTCTGATTATTTTTTAATGTGGACAAATAAATGACACAAATTTTGAAAAGAAAAGGCCTTTTACTGTCATTTTCACATTGAGCATAATTAGATATTTCCTTTATTCATCTTAGAGGACCAAAGATAATCTTTATGCTAAAAACAACAACAACAACAAAAAAACAAACAAACAAAAAAAAAAAAAAGAAAAGGAGGCTACTTTCAGAAGAGACTAATGAACTTATTTAATACTTTCTTACCCCATACTTTGGGCCCATGTGAAGAAAAAATCTTTTCTTTTTGACTAGGAGGGGTCTTTGAAAAATGGCTTTTAGTGAAACGTTTCAGCTTAGATTATTCAAAACCTTTGCTGTCTGAATGTTGTCAAACAGTCATTGTTTTAAGAAGATATAGTAGGATTGCTTTTGAAGGTACTTGATAACAGTCTGATACTCCATAGACATCAAGGTTAGGTCACTGTTCCATGTTTCTAGCTGCCATAAGATGTAAAGTATTTTGACATTCACATTTAATCCATCAATGCAGTTTGTCCCATGAAATATGTAAGAAGTAAAAATCTTGCATCTGTTCAGCCCTGTGATTTTTTTTATTATTTTTTTGGAAGTAAATAAAATTGGCTTTGTTTGTTACATGCATGCCACTAACAAAGAGAGAAAGGGGAATTGAATACTTGTGTTAAAATGGACGCTGACAAAGGATTGCCTGGGCAACCCTTTGAGAAGCAAAGACACTCTAGATGATACTTATTTTTCCTGCTGTAAGTACTTCCCTGTTGTGATGAGTTGCCTTCAAAATGTGTTTGAGATTGATGTAAAACGTTTAGGGTTGGGCAGGGCACAATCAGCGAGTCAAACTTTGGGTCTTTTGGGCATGCTCTTGGGTTTTCCTTATTCTCTCCAATTGGATTGCTAACATAGCATTGCTTTTAGGCGTATTTTTAGGTTATGGAGCTTGGGATGCAGAAGAAGGGATCTTGGTGTTTCTTCCTGTGCTGATGGGTTTTAAAGCACTTTTCTCAAAGCTCCACTTTGGGTGGAAGGAAAAAGGACATCTTCTCTTCTTGTTTAACACAATCAGGGGTAGTAAAAAAGCCAGTAAAAAATACAGATTTAGTAAAATTTTTGTATGTTTTATTTTTTGTTTTTATTAGCCACCTTACCCCACAGCTACATTTGCTGTGTTCAGACATTCTGACGTGTTTCCTTCCATATCCAGTCTCCTCTCCAGAGATGAAAGTCTTCTGTCAACAATTGAAAACCAGTCAGATTCCCTCCCACTTTTCATGCACGTGATGAAAGACACTGCTAACAGAGCAGCATCCAAAAAGGGAGTGGGCAAATCCATGGAAGAAGAATTGAACAAGACCTATTAAATACAAAGGCATCAGCCTTAGGATGCTGGAGGTGGGAGTATATTCCTGGCAATTGCCACACTCTTGCCTGCCCTGTTTTCATAATCTTCAGTAGATGTCTGGTATTTGGCTGTGGTTGGAGACAAGATATTGCGCTAGATGGATATTTCAACTGACCTGTAAAAGTCATCTTCATGTACTTTAGTGTCCTGTTCTCAGTTAGAATGGAAATGGAGAAAATGGCCCAGAGATGAAGGTATCTCAGGACAGTGGTGCTTCCCGGAGGTTGTGCAGGAATCTGTACATCATGATGGATTTACAGCTTAAGAGGCAGTCGTAGTTAATAGCATTAGGTAGTAGTCTTGCTACATTCTCCTCCAGAGCTTTGTTTGGATGTGCCGTACAGCTTTCCAGAGCAGGGTAATTTGTTGGAATATATTATTAATAATGCTATTGGCAGTCTTATATGTATTTTCAGCTTTCAAGTTCTAAATTTACATGGAGTTATTGGTTCATTCAGAGCTGTCCCTGTCTCTCACTGGAAAGGGATACTGTTTGTCACATAAATAAATACCTTCCTAAGTTCTGTCTTCTGGACTTAGCGTGAAACTGGAGTACAGAAAATAGAGAACTCACAGAAGCCAGAGCTCTTTTAAGTTGTGCTCCTTTGTAACAGCATGTTGTTGGTCCTTTGGCAGGTAAGAACAGTCACTTGATCATGGATTCCCTCCATGCCAGTCCAGGATTATAAAAAAGAAATCAGAGTATATGCACACACTCTTCTATAAATATTTTTACAGTCCTGAAAAACTATAATGCATGTCTGTAGCCATGTGTGTGCAGGACCTCCTAATGTACTGGGGTACCCTTCCCTGGGGAATCAGGTTTGATTAATAGCTGCTACATGGTGCACTCTGCCAAAAGCAAAACACTGGTGTTCACAAGAGGCCAAGTGATAACGTCATTGCTGCCAGGGATGATTAATTCTGCTCACAGAAGCAAAGAAACAGAAATTGCTTTAGCCCTCTTGTCAAGGTGGGAGCAGGATTTTATGTATGAAATTCATACGGCTAGAGGATGAAAACTTTTCATTGGACTTGAAAACAAGAAATGTTTAAGTTACAGACTGTGAGAGAAGATGCAGACCAAGAAGGGAGGTGAAGGTTCAGTGGAGCAGGATGAAAATAATTGTAAAAACCAAAAAAAAAAAGTTTGCGAGAAGAAGGGAAAACTGTTTTCTGCAATTGCATTTTAACTGAAGCATAATGAGCTTTAGTTTTATCAGCATGACTTCTAAACACTTTGATGTTAGAAAATACTCTTGTGGGTTCCAGTCACCTACAGGCTTGAACTTCAGCAGAAATATTTCATGGTCCATTACCAAAGTAGTGCAGGGGACCGCTGAAAAGGTCCTGAGCTGTGGCTGTTGTTTCACAGCTGGCAGCACACTTTCCTCACCTGTTTCCCAGAGGACAAAGGACATTAGTGTTATTTTATTGTAAAGCTAGCTTCAAAGCACACCGACAGGTTTTTATAAGAAGCTCGGCGCTCTACTGTAAATAGCGTGGAGCACAGTGAAAACCTGAACCGCAGCACAGCAGAAGGATCAACACGGCACATTAGTGATCTTGGCGAGGAGATTGTGGCTCATTTAGCAAAACTGATATTTAGAGGTCATGCTCAGTTCAAATAAAGCAGACTGGCATTTTCTAACCTGTCCCTGGACTTCTGTCAGCTTAAGTAAAAGGGTTAGGATCGACTCTTGGCAGGCTTACCATTTGAATTACAGTTGGTGAGTGTTCATCTCTGGTTGTATAACAGACAAGGAGAGGTGTTGCAACAGTTATCTCCAAGTCAAGCAAATAACATAAATAATGGGTCTTTTGTAAGTCAGGGCACATTTGATTCAGTAAAGTTCAGGTCAAATTAATGCAGGAACTGGCATTGGAATTTTAGTGGGTTTGGCCCCCGGCCACCTGCTCAAGGTATTGGGCTACCTCCCTGACAGGACAGTTGTGATTTCTTCCTCGTTTGAGCAATAATGGTTTGTTCAAGGAAAAATGAAAGCTGCTCAATATCTTAAAAAAAAAAAAAAAAAAAAAAAGTGTGTGGGGGAACACTGCAAATGATTAAAGAAATGTTCAAAATAACATACGAAATTTGTTGAAGAAAATGTCTTAATCGCTTTCTACTATAATTGAATGTTTTTTCTTAAAATGTTGCGGTGGCAGGAAGGTTTTCCATTCATGTTTTCCATCAAAGAACATATGATGTGTCATGGAAGTCTTTCTTTTTTTTTTCTCTTGTTTCTTGAACATAGCGAATATTATTTTTGTGCCTTCACAGTAGTTCAGAAAAGAGCCTGTAGTCTGCTTCTGTTTCTGATACTTTAATTTTGCTGACCTATGCTAAGACATTACTCTATGATACATTGTCCCGTCCTACTAGATACTCTAATATTAGGTTACGTATCAAAAATATGAATGAGGTGTTAGAAATTGGTTCGCAAGAAGAACACAAAACTGGCATTGTACTCACTGATGAATGATACCTCTGTGTTGAGTATCACTTTCTAGTCCTCATTCCTAATCTGGTGGGCCGATGGAGTGAGAAAAGCTTATCTACCAAACAAAAATTTCTGGCGTGTTCTGTCTTTCAGAATGTGATTTATTGAAATGTGCTTAACAGGCATGATGACTGACATATTGCTCAGCTGTAGGATAATTATCTTCCATGCACGGTAGCATTGTTTGAAATAAGATCTTCTGTTGGTTAATGGGGGATTTTGCACAGTGAGGCTTAAACCAGTGGGATGACTCGGTCGGCCTTGCTTTCCAGGGGCAGGGAAGCCCCTTCTGTCTGATACGGTGTTACCAATAAATACAGGACCTTGCAACTAAGAGCCAGACCTGCCAGAAAGGGCAGGTGGAATGTGGGGAAGGGAGCAGGGTTGCAGCCCATGGTGCCAGGCCCATGAGGGCCCATCAGCACCGGCCCTGGCCCAGTTGTCCAACAGGTATGAGGCGTGGGCATGTTTCTATGGAGTTAGTCAGCATGAGTGATGCAAGGCTTCTGGCTGCTTTTTGCTGCTCTTTCAGCTCCATTCTTTGTCTAGGGAGGCAGATCGTAGCTGATCCAGCACGTAATGTGAAGTGGTATGAATGGACAGTTGGTGACTTATCAGAAAATCTGCTGGAACAAAGTCAGCTTTTGAAAGGCTATTAACAAACTTGGACTCGCTGAGAGAGTATACCAGGCCAGCACGCTGTTGTGTGAAGTTTTATGTCCAGTTTTAGCACAGCCTTGCTTTCTTGGGCCTCTCGGTAGAGAGCCTGAGGGAAAACAAGAGAAAGCAGGTCGGGGTGGGTCAAGGAAACAGCAGGCAGGTGGCATTTAAATGATGCTGGAGTGGGCTCATGGGTTTGTGGCGGTCACTTGATATGCAGCTCCTACTCAGCTTGGAGGCCTTGAATGCTATTTAAAGCACAAATAATGGAAAAAATGACATTTAAAAGAATGTAACAGTGAGGAGTAGGTGAAAAGCTGAAGTGCAGTCCCACCATCTTTTGGACTGAAGTGCCTGCCAGTGTCCCCTGGCTGTGTCCTGAGTGCTTTGAAAATGGAACCCACATGGCAGCTCCACAAGGTATGGCTTCATGGGGTTTGGATACCTTTTCCCAGCTTTAAGGGTAAGAGGTCATGTTCAGTGGCTGTCAGACTTTGAATATCTGTATTTCCATTATGAATATACAAGATATTCAACTCGATCTGGTTCTGCTTTATGCAGAAGATCCCTTACATGTTAGATTTACACATGGAGTCTTTCCATAGGTTTTGAGTCTTCGTGACTTATAGGCTTTTTGAGGGGGAAAGAATATGTGTGTGTGTGTGTGTGTGCATCCAGATTTCATTTTTTCTTCTCTTCAAATGGAATTTGAAGCTTTTCTGGTAGAACAGCACTTTGACGTTGGCAGGAGCAATTGACCATAGAAGCAGGTGCTGCTGGCCAGCAGCACCAGTGGCTTCATGTAGCAGAGACCTCTTGGCTTGTGTTTGGATTTAATGGGAATGTCTTGGGACGTCAAGGTGTGGTTGTACTTTGTCCAATGTTGCCAGAGGGTGAAACCTCTGGCTTGAAACTAGTAAGTAAATTGAGGGCGTTATTTCTTATGGATTAGTTTATGTCCTGGACAAATACCTGGAACTGACTGAACGTCTTGGGAATCTGAGAGCAATACGTGGCTTAGATGTTGTTGCTAGTTTATGAACTTGCATTGTGGAGCGTGAAGCTAGTGATGGTTGTGGTTAACATCTAATTTCACGAGACAGCCTGTTCTCAGCTGCCTACAACTGACAATCACCTGCAGAGGTAACTTTTTGAAGATGAGGACTTAGCTCGTTGCTACACGATATCAGCTGAAGCATGAAAATATCATGTCCAGGAAGCCTCAGCTTCTCCGTTACACGATACTACATAATCCATCACTACATAATCTGTCAGATAAGTAAAATCAGAACAGTCCCATATTTTGTGTCCAGCAAGAGCTCCTATTTTCCAGCTGAGCGATCCACTGGTTTATAACAGGGCAGGGTTTTGTGCTCGCTTGATACTCCAAAAGCTGCTGGCTGCTTGGTGTGCAAGCTCAGAATTAAAACCTTCTTTGGGGGCTCCTAGCACCTGAATGTTTTGCCATTTCTGATACTTAAAGGGATTTTATTAGTATTATTTTATTATTTTACTGGGAAAGCTTCTTTGCCTACTTGGAAAAGCAGAAAGGATTTTGTGGTTTAAAACAGAAGTCTAAAAGACTCTTCCCTGCTATCTCAAAACATGAGATTGTCAGAAGCCTCCTACTCCTCTACGCCTTGATAGCTTTCTGCAAAAGGCATCTGAAAGGTGGTATCTAAAGCCAAGTAGCTTTTCCAAATAAATGTCCATGAATTTATTTAATTACTTAAGTAACTATTTAATAATTTATCATTATTTAATTATTTATTAACAAAAACAACACAACTAGATGAAACCCCTGAGCAAACCAAAAAAGCAAACCTATCTGCCGGGATAAGGGACCCAGTTGCTGCTGAGTCTGTAGGCTGGTGAGGTCCCGTTACTTTTAGCAGGACAGCTGACTTTGCTGGTACTTTGGGATGCAAATCAAAGTTAGAAGGGGTGGAAAGAACAGCAGAGTTCACACTTGCTGGGGGCCTCCGTGTTCTCCATATGGATGGGCTCTGCAACACGCACGGTCAGACTGGGCTGTGATGTTAGTAATGGCTCATGACCTGAGAGGTATTTTGCAGGGGCTTTATTACTATTATTATTTCATTGCAATTTCTTTCATAAATCATATGTTTCTTTCCCTCATTTACTTCCATTTGTTTACAAAAACCACTGGATTTTCCCCCATAACTGTATTCTCTTTTGCCTTCCATCTAAAATTCCTTCTCCCCCTTTCTCCCTCAATCTTTCATTCACACCCATCTCATTTTTTGGTCACTTCCCTTAAAGCTCCTCCCCCCTCTCTCTCCCTTTTCCATAACTATCCATTTTTCTTTCCTTCTTTCTATTCCCATATTTTCCTCCTCTTGAGCTCTTGCCTCACGTCTAGAACTCCTGCATTCCTTGGTTCCTCCTATAGGTTTTTTTTTTCTGCTTGTATATCCTCTCCCTTCTCCTTGTATCGCTTCCCTCTTCCCAAGCAGCACTTCATCGTTCATCCTCAGTGCTTCTTGAGAAGTCAGATAGTATCATTATTTTGACAAGGTACAGGTTTATGAGAAAAACTTCTCATGCTCCCCTTTCTTTAGAAATTTTCCATTAGGATGTTGATATATTAAGAAGATGGGAAGTATGATGAGGTTGTACTTCACTCCTCTTCTCCTCTCTACTCCCCCACCCCATACGCTTTGTGGTGTTAATTCTTGCTGCAGTCTCATGAATCTTGTATGGGATTTTGTTGTGCACATTTTTTTAAAAACCATGGCTACGGCCATTTATATAATGTAGGCTGTTTGCACTGCTACCATGCGTAAAGTCTGTTTTTCTTCAGCCTTCACACCTACTACGTGAGAAATGACTTTGTCATTTTTAGTAGTATGCAGTGCAGCAGAGTATTACTACTTGTGATTGTGAGCAGCGTGCAGTTTAACATTTACCCTTTTCCTAAAATTTCAGTCTGTCTCCCACATATATTACTGAAAACCATTACTGGCATTTCTGAATTAGAATGGGTGGCTCTAGAGAGAATATTTTCTCTTCTGCGTTTAGCCAGCTATATCATCAGCCCAACAAGCCATCAGCTCAACAGGCTTTTTTTGCAAAGGCTCTCCTTTTCTTTCCCCCTCTCTTTCCTTTTAATCTTTCATAAGCATTTTCTCACCATTTTGTACATTCTCAGCTTAACCTCACTCTTCGTTGATGCTGTGGGACAACATCAATAGAATATTTGATTAAATGAATATTTAATTCGTATCCTATACTGTGCTGCAGTTGTGTAACTTTTAAAATATACCACCTCTAAATGTACTAATTTAAAATGTGCTAATTCTAAGGCTACCTAAGGATCATCCAGACACATCTTATTACATGTTTGATTTGAAACTGAATTTTCAGGCAATTAGCATTGCTTTACCTGTATTAATGACAGTAGTAACAAATTCTGATGTAGGTATCAGTCACATAGTGAAATACTTTTTGGTAGTGTTACTAAGTAATAGAAGAGCCTTTTGATATGAAGACTTGGAAGTCAGAACTGGGATCTGTTCCTGAAACCGTGTGTGAGTAATTCTTACTCGCATTACTAGCAATCCCAACTCCAATTAAATAGGATGAATCCAAGCACAGAATGGTAATTATTCTGGCATGGGAAAGCTGTCAGTGTTTTTAGAGCTATTTTTATTGCTGCATTTTAAAACATCGCTTATTCCAGTCTTCCCTCTTTCTTTATTCTTCTTGCATAAAAATAATCCATCAACTGTTTCTGGCTGGTATCTGCAAAGGGAAGTTTGTGTGTTCCTTTGAAGCTAAACAGGAGGAAACATCATGACCATGGTTTCACCGTCTGCGTATAATATAGTCATTTATTAAAAATTGTTTAGAACACCTAACCCTTTGATTTTCAAATCTGTTTAGCTATAAAATGTCCTCGTTTTTTTATAGTCATAAAATAGTTTAAGTTCTATATTTAAAAGCCTTTTATTTTGATGCTGAACCATGTATTTGTAAAGGTAAATGAAAGCCAATTTAATCAAAGAAAATTTCAGATAAAGGCTGCTTCATACTAGAAATAACTCATTAGAGGATGATGATTTAGAGTAGTGAGCCCTTTCATGAAGCCTTTGTGAAACAACCTTTAGCATAACAGGGAAACTCATGCTATTTGCTGGAAAAGTATTTTTTTTTTCCTGTAATTTTGGGATGATGGTTCTTTGGGATTCCTTTTTTGCAGAGAAACAGGGAGAGAAACGAGAAATATGAACACAATATTACCATCTTCATTTCTAAGGAAGAACAAATAAAAAGTAGTAGTTTCTAATATAATAATACAATCTGAAGGGCCAAATGATAAATTAATGGAAACTGGTTCTTGTATATTGTTTTGGAGACTAAGCACATTAGATTGAATTGTTTCACAACCAGCATGCCTAATTATTGTGTCTGCCACATTCATCTATTTAAATCATTCCCAACTTTTGGATTGCTGCCTAGAATATTACTGCAGTACGTGTTTCAACTGGCTATTCCCTTGTCATGCACTACTTCACGAAGGATGCTGATTTTCTCTGGGAAAAGAAATAGAAGCGAGTATTGGCAGTGTATGTATAATACCTGATCAGAAGTGATGATAGATCTCATAATGTTGATGTGAATGAGCTGAATGTGAACTGATATTGTATTTGTTTTGTCAGGTCAGTGATTTAAAAAGTGCCTTTGTGAAGTCACTTTTATGAGAGAGGACTGCTACGCCTGTGTTTTCAAAATACTGTCTTTGCCACCTAGACGTTGCCTTGACCTTACCCGTGGCAGAAGATACCTCAACTGTCTTGATTTGCCAATTAATTGATGGGAAACTGAACTCACCGTTAAAACAGGAAGAAGACTTATTATTAGTGGGACACGAACAAATGACTGCATTGCTTTTCTTGGGTAATCAATACCAGCAAGCGACCTGCAGCGAGCTAGTATTCCATCAAGGAGTGCCATTGCATTGAAGGACCTGTGCTTGAAACTGCTGCATCAGTGATACAATCAGCAGAGCCACACGTTTTACGGACAGAAATGCTACTGAGCATGGTCGTTTTCAGCCAAAAGTCTACAAGTGGGACTTAATGATTGATGAGTGACTGCTTGCTGATAAACTTTCTCTGTTTATTCCGTGTTGTGTGAGTCGGACATCATTAATCGTCCCCCACATTATTATTTTTTTTTAACTTTCTTTTCAATTGGAATTATTTTTTTTTCTCCCCCTCCTTTCATCGGTAGTTTTGGAAATTTCTTTGGCATAATTCACTTGACAGCAGTTTACAAGTTCTAATTCAGCTTTTCATCATGGCTTTGAATGTTGCTCCTGTAAGAGATACAAAATGGCTAACGTTAGAAGTGTGCAGGCAGTTTCAGAGGGGAACTTGTTCACGCTCTGATGAAGAATGCAAATTTGCACATCCCCCTAAAAGTTGCCAGGTTGAAAATGGAAGAGTTATTGCCTGCTTTGATTCCTTAAAGGTAAGGAAGAAAATTGCATGTGTAGTGAAAATGCTAATATATTGTGTTGAAAGCAAAAAATGAAATTGAGTTATAGCTAATCAGAAAGTAATTTGTTCTTGGTAAGATGTGTATTAATACAAATGTTATTTGTCTTAACTTTTATTTATTGAACCTTTGAAAAGTTTTCTTTCTAAGGATTTTTCTTTCCCAGTGTCAATATGTTGTTTACAAAAATGTCATACAACTGGGGGATACAGGATTGCTTACAGCTGGTATGAGAACTGTAGTCACCCAAGTACATTTTATGAATTACCATTGTTCCACTGCAAATGAAGATACATGGTGGCAGAGTACTGGGCCATTATCAGTATGCTAATGAGACAAATGACATTAAAAAAAGGACATTTTCATGTAAATCAACAGAAGTAAGAAAAGCCTGTCCATCAGTTTAGACACAATAGATGGTTTGCCCGTGGTGTTGTGGACTCTGAGATAAACAAATAGCATTTTATATATATTGATAGTGCATATAGCCACATAAGTTCAGAACAAAGTAAGGGATTTCTCTCCCTTGGAGAAAAATTAGCAATTATGTTGATAGGCTGTCAACTTCTTCTGACTTGCTAATGACATCAAGCAAGCTTTAGAGAACTATTTTAAAAGTTTTCCAAAATTCTTTGTACTGTAGAAAGGACTTTTAAAAGCCCCATGGGATTTGGGGAGTACACAGTGTTTTCTGTGAAGAAATGTTTGTATTCTCATGTAAACAGAAAGAAAAATACTTTTTTTACATGTAAATAATGCACAGAGAAAGTTTACCATTTGAGATTTTATTTTAAAAGTTTTACTAATTGCTTTGTCTTTTGGTCATGGGAGAATGTCTTGACCTGTTTTTCAAATTTGGCTCTGTAATTCAAAATTTAAATTACTCACCAAGAATTCTTACTATGGTTACATCAGTGTGAATGAGAAGAAAATTGTGCTGTTTAAAAACATTACTTTAGTTTCATTTTACATTCTTTTTCTGTGTGTGTGTGGAGTGCAAAACACTGTACTAAGCATCTGTTTTTTTCTGGGTTTTCTCATTTCTTCTCTTCTAAAGATTTAGAAGAAGGTAATTTTGTGGAAATATTTGTGAGGGGTTTACGTTCTGTATATCCTACAAGCCAGAACAGCACCTTTGGAGTCATCACAGTATGTCATCGAGTGCTATTAATGACCTTAATCCATGGATTACTGCACGATAAACTGTAACAGCTTCTTTGTAGATGTTCTAGTATATTGGTCGCTTGCCAATGGGATAATTTTTTTTTTTCTTAAGCAGGCAGGCTAGCATCTGCAGCAAATGGGCAATAAGTAGCTTTTACAGAAAATAAGCAAGTCAGTACAATTTTTTCAGATGCAATTTTTTACCCTTTGTAGAGACTCGAGAAATACTTTATGGGCTGCCAGAGAGATTTAATTTTAAACCAAGGCTTTGTTTGTAAGTTTATAGAACTGTTAGATTTTGAATTGGTCAGACTGTGGCTTAATCCTTCATTTCTGACATCAAACTTCAATCACAGTACAAGAATTTGTGGTTCATCCCTATAGCCTTGGAAGCAAGGGATTAATGTAAGAGGAGAATCAGTCTTAGGCACTTCCGATTCCCCTACCAAAAGAGTTTTTAAACAACATAGAACTTGGCAGCGAGGCAAATCACTGCCAAAGCAAGTCTTACTTTCAAAGTCTAGAAGTACCACCACCCTAGTAGCCATGCAGACAAAACAGAGCTGGAGAAAATCCCAGCCAACCTAAAACCCAGTGCTTTGAGTCTATGTCCCCTCCTTTTAGGGAGGAAGAAAGGGAGCCCGTTTTATGAAGCTGCCCTGCTCACATCAGGTTTTGCTGCAAGAAGAAGTCCCGTTGTGCTGCGTTGCTTCTTCTCCAGCTGCCCTTGCTGGGCAGGAGGCTGGACATGGGGTGAAGGGCTCAGTCCACCTTGGTGGTAGGGTTGGCCAAACGGCTGGTTTGCAGGGCAAGAGGCTGCTGCTGCATCTTCCTGGCCGAAGCGGAGGTGGCGAAGCGTGCCAGTGCTGCCTGACTCACCCCAGTGCCCATTGCCTCCCCTGACAGCACAGGATGTTTGTGGCTGAGGTGCCAGTTAGTCAAGCTGGAGGCTTTTGTGTCGGGATGATCACCACCCAAGAATCGAAACTTGTGTTGTAGTCAAAGCTAATAATGCAGCGCAGAGAGATCCTGAGGGATCTCTGTGGGTAACTCACTGACAACCAGCATCATGGCTCAACGGGAGGAAGTCCAAAACAATTTTTAAAATGCAGTCAAAGTAAGCGAGGGTGCTTTGTTCTCGTGCAGTAGGTCGCCAGCTCTGATGGCTTGGTGCTCTCAAACCTGGTGTTGGTGGCCAAAGCCAAGCAGCCCTATCCTGCCCCGAGCAGCTGGCAGAAGGGAGCAGGTACCTGTGCCTCCTGTGCCGTGCTTCTCAGGTCCATTTAATGACACTGCAGGTAAAGATGAGATCAGACCAAGAAGCTGAATTGTGGCCTGAAGCCGCAGAGTTGGAGGCTCAGGTTTCCTTCCACCGACTGCTGCGGGCAAGATGGCAAGGTCTACTGAGCATCAGGCAGAGCTCTGCACCAGCATGTGCTGCCTGACCTCCTGTACGTGGAAAGCTTTCAGAAATTGTTCCAAGTGCAGGGCTCTGTCAGCTCGCATCCTTGCATCCATTATCTGTGTTATTCCGAAGGGTGTCTGGAAATTGGTGCATATACAGCAAGATTGGGGCCGGGTAGCTCGATTCATTCATGCTGCCGGTTGAGAGACTTGTGTCATTAGTCACATAAATCTGTCTGATGTGTGGCTTTCTGCAGTGCTGGTGTTAATCATACAGTTTCAGAATAAGGCTTTGGAATTCAACAGGCGGGATAGCAGTTATGTAAATAAACAAACAGTCTGGAGTTATAGATAAAATCAGAATTTAATTAAAAGAAAACAAGAACTGTTTTCCTTGCTGAACACTGAACCACACTTTAATGTGGACAATTATTTAGAGTTTATTTACATAATATTTAGAGCTTTGGAGATTTAGCGCTTTTACTGTCTTGGCTCAGTGTACCTGCTGTAAAAATGAATTAGTAAGTTGAGGGTCCTTGAATAAACATCTTATTACCCTGAGAAGGAGCAGATTTTTTTTAGTCTAATGTTGAGGTATGTATTACATTTATGTGGTGCCTAGTAGTTACAGCAGCTCCATCAGAAATCAGTCAAACACAAGATAGAGCACTCAGACTGGCTCTCCTTTAACCACATACCATGAGGGTTCCTGTTTGGGGAAGGGACGTGCACCCTTCAGCTCTGTTCTTCCTTCCTGGGACAGAAGAGGAGTTGTGGTGTCCTTATCTGCCAGAAGCACCTTTACTCTGACTTTGCCCTTAGCCTCATGGTCGGTCAAAGGTAGTAAAAGCTGGTGTTAAGAAAGGAAATAAGATGCTTGCCTCGATGCCACACCACATCCTCCTTTGTGCTACCACCACCGTCTTGTGGCCGTGCAGTACGCCAGGCTGGGAAATTGATTGTGGTTAAAACTAAGTTGTTGGTGTTGTAGTTGCTGCTGACAGAGGGGAGAAGGGCTGTGTGGCAGCAGCAGATACAGGAGACCAGCAGAGTACTGGGTTACTTCTGTCACTGATAGTGCTGTGGCCTTAGTCCCTGGCTTCAAGAGTGATGGGATTGCATCAGAATCGAAGCTTTCCTGTATTAAAGGAGTATATTTGTAGGTCTACCGGTTCCAAGTAAAAGGTCAACAAAATTTAATGAAGAGTGTTTGCTTTTAACTCAAAAGGGATTTTTGGCTCAGAATACCTGTCCTTGCAATACTTGACTTTAAACCCAGCAGAAGTTGCAACAACAGCCCCTCAAACCGATTACAGTTTTTGAGGATCCAAAATGCTCACTGTTGAAGACTGTCTAGGCTCTGAATATCCTTCATCTGTACGGTGCTCCAGGCTAGACAGAAATAGCTAACAACTAATGAGTCTGGTTCAAATTCAGGCCAGAAACTTGCCAATGCCAGGTCCTGCCACATGGACCTCTGAGATAGGGCTCGGTGTTTGTTCTTCTGCTTGGTGAGAGACAGAGCCTGCCCTGGCTTAAAGAGGGCACTTTGGGGGGTTAGGAGTGTGCAGGGGATCATTCCTGGTAATCCTGTTGGTGCTGATACAGCAGCTGGCAGATAAGCACCCATTAACCCCTCAGCGTTGCCTCCAGCACCTGGACTCCCACCAACAGGAGCCCTGCACAGCTCTGCCAGCCGGTGCGACACCCGAAATTGAACCAGGCGAGTGGCTCCTGCTAACTCAATGTCAGGATGAAAGTGGCTCCCAGCTAATCCATTTGCCTGTGCCTGACACGGATTAAAGCATATTTACATGACGAAGCCCAGAGCATTGCCGGTGGACGGGAAAGCAGGGAGCTGGCGAGGAAGCACTGCTAGAGCCAGAGCCTCATCCGCTGCCTTAAACCTTCCTGAAGCCTTTCTGGGGCTGTTTGCTTCCCCTTACAAGTTCCCATTTGGATGCTGCAGTGGTTTTAGGTCTGCAAAGAGGCCTGTTTAAGGGAAAGTTTCAATTTCAGGAACTCCTCTGTTTATGTTTTCATACTTCTCTCTCAGTTCAAGTAGCATAATTCTTTAAAAGTGAAGAACCTGGATGTGTAACACTTCATATATCACACGCAGAGTCCTCCAAGTTCAACACTGTAAGCAAACCTGTTTTCAGGACTTTCTAGTTCTGCTAGTGGTAAAGAACAAAATCCTTTCAAAGGAATATTAATATATAATGTAATCTCCAGGGCCAAGAACATACAGAACTTTGCTGTATTTAAAAAACATATATATTAAAATGAATAATGATGTCTGTGAGGGGGAGAAGGGAGCAGCTTGGCAGATAAAAAAAAATATGCTCATGTGCATTTCAGCAAGAGCTGATTCTCACTTTCTCAGGCTAGTCTAGCTTTTAAAT